CAATCGGAGGGAGACTCCTCACCGACTTCACTCACGTGATTCGCGTCCCCAATTGGTTCCCGCCTCTCACTCATAAAAGTACGCTTAAAAATTAGTACATATTACAGGCACCAACTTTTCTTCCGCCTAATCAACTAGCCTTCGGCTCATGTTAGGTATCGCTTCTTCTCCTTCCCCTCTCAGCCAAGATATTCTACCTATTTCTGAATAGCAGGCGTCGGTACGCTGTCCTGTTAAAAGCGCAAAGGAAACTTGGCTCTGGAAAGACCTTCTTCTTGGTCCTCGCCGTTGCTTACAGGCTTCTTTGCTGAAATATATTGTGTTTGGCACCTACCCTAGCTCTGTGTTCTACGCAAACTAGTAAAGCCAACTTTATCATAAGCAGAATATTGCGTTTTTGAATTTTTCCGACTCCATCAGCACGTTTACACGTGACAGCTGTAAACCCTTTCTCCTTAAAACGCATTCTTTAGATCACTTTTCACGCGCCTGGCCATGCATTTGTGATGCTGCAACAAAGCCTCCATCCCCTAAACTCCGTTCTCAAGCCACTCCTGACTGCCCATCCTACTAAATGCCTTGACGCTGGTGTCAAATACCTTGCTCCACTTAACAAAGGCTTGAGGACTCCTTTGTGTCGGGCTTGTTGACACTCATGCCGCAGCACCACTTTTGGTGTGATGAGTGGTGCGACAATTAGCACCGGTATGAAGGGAAGAACAGCATGCTCGAAAAGGTGATCGTGCCTCCCGCGGTCACCTTGCTTTCTTCCGAGTTTAGCCCATCAATCCAGCCATTCAAGCATGAGATAAACATTCATGAATTTATCATGCCGGTAATCAAATCTTGATGTAGCTAAAGAGATGACCACATTGCCAATACTGGATCATCTTTATTGAACTCATTCTAGCCGACTGATTCGTCTCCCATAGGGAAATACCTTCATAAAGTAGGCGGAGAAGTCCGCTACACCTCTCTCTCACGTGATCGTGGGTCAAATCCGAAAAGATCGGAAAAGGCGCTTTCCAAAATGTCGTAATGCACTTCGCTTGATATACATTAGAGTACAAACTTGATTACACATCGTGAGATAGGAACAAACAAATGTATAGCAGACGATGTGTTGTTCAATAAGCATCTCTGCGCGCACAAGTCTTCAGAGGAAGGTCAGGTTGGTCACCCCTGTAGATGCTGACACCATTGACTGTTCAAGCAGAGAGTTCAGTTCTTTCCGAAAAACAGCCTACAAGGAAGACATAACACTTTGTGTGCGGATGAATGAGACCCTCAACTTCCTTCGACTCAATCACGTGACACTTTATTGAGCAGCCACTTAGTCCCGTACACACCAGCGCTAATCCAATGTCTTGGGAGGAAGGGGGTGGAGAGGAGGGTCTATAACCGTGCCCCCTACTACTCACCTATAGACCTGCTTGCTCTGCTTCTGGCGCAGCAGAGAAGATTGGATCTTTTCGCGGATATGCAGCATCGCTGCCCGGCTATAGGAGGGAGGTGCCACAGGAGCGCTGCGGCGGCTAGACAGCTATAGAGAGCGGTGAGGGGTTAGACGAATAAAGAGTGAAACGGACAAGATTGAAACTTACTTGGGAGCGAGCCACAGCGCTGCGAATACCGCGCTCTGCTGATCCGGTGGGAGCGGTGGCAGTGGCGGAAGGCGTGCTGGTTCGCGTCTCCACTACAGAGCTCCGTCCAGAACTGCCATTAAAAGCTCCTAGAGCAACGACCACGGAGAGTTCGCGCCGACACGATTTCATGGCGTCATTCAATGCCTTCTGTACTGCCATTGTATAAGCTAGCTTGGTCCGAGTTTTACTTTCCGCCTAGGTTAAAAATTTGTAAAACACGTGACTTTTAAATAGAATGCATAGGAACGGCTTTCAAATGATTAGCGCACTAATTCCATCGTTCTTCGCAAGAATGTACCCCTAGGCATTCCATTCACAAGACTATACTTAAAAGTGAGAGGAAACTCCACGAAAATTCGTTCACTTTCAACGCAATGTCAAAAGGAGGACACAAACCAGATGTTGTGTTTGACGCACCATGACGTTCGATCCTAACGTCAGAGCAAAGTCAACTATCGCATAGGTAGACAATTCTGACCGAACGTTTCCTTTTAAGACAGTACAATGATTGAAGAAACTAGTCAAACCTATTAAAAACACAGGAAATGAGGTATAAATTGATAACATAGGCCTGGAAATGGTCTAACTTGGTAGAGAAATGATATGATGTCATGGTT